AGAGCTCTGAGAAAACTGGAAAGGCGGGAGGAGGCAGGATTTTGTTCCCCTTGGGAGAGCAGCCCCTCAGCCAAAAGGACCACCAGTGAACTCCCACCTGGCAGCATCAGCCTGAGCATGGCAGAGCCAGGATCCTCTGTCCTCCCAAACTCTGTCCCACATAACAGGCTTCCTCACAGCACTGACAGCAAGGACATACCAATGCTCCTAGTGGCTCTCCAACCCTCTCCATCCCCCTGACTGGCACCTTGGGACTCCCTGTCTGCAAAGTGGCGAGACAAGCAGTGAGCTGGAGGTGGCTTAAGTCCTGATCCCCTCCTGCCAAAGCTGAACTGAAAAATCACAAGATTTTTAAATACATGTATATAATGGTCCTTTTTATTTGCCACTAGATTCCAGTTGTTATGAAAATAGCCACATTCTCAAATTGCTAGAAATGGCTTCTTTAAAACAAAACACAACTAAACAAACACACACAAAAAAAAACAAACAAAAACACACACACAACAACAACAACAAAGCAGCTTAAACAAAATAAGAGCCAGGTATTTGTGAAATGACAAATGTCTCAACACTGAAACTGAAAGACAAAAGAACCAACATTGTGAGATTCATGAAAAAATCGTTGAGATAGGAAAATACCTAAGAAGTGTCAAACAAGACAGAGCAGGAAAGACCAGCCTGTGATGCACTTGGACACTGATTCCCTGCAGAAAGGATTGGAAGTGCTGAAAGATCCTGAATGTCAACAGCCTTCAACCAGCAAGTAATGCCATATCCAACATGCCTTTACGTACGTGCCCTTGGCTCCTGGGGCAAACTCCAGCAAACAATCTTCGAGACAGGTATTTCTGAGACACGCCTGCTCTTCAGCAGATGGGCAGCGGTTCTGTGTGCGACCAAATGACTCAGTCACCAGGACCATCTCCTTAAACACCAGTTTACACAACCTGTCTACTGGGAGCCCCAGAAGACTGACTTCTCCACTGGATTTGTGCACGGCCAAAGATCGAACCCTAAGGGCAAAACTCTTGACCGTAATAATTCAGGGGGCAACAAGAAGCAAGGAAGCCACATGAAATAAATGTCAGGAGAGGGGTGCCGCTCCTGGCCCTGTGTTCCCTCCATCCATGAGGATGTGACAGCACTAGCCTGTGAAAGCACACAGGCGTGGTAAACACTCTCCACGCTGTCCATACGGATAACTGTCATCTGTCTTTCCCACGGGTGAGCGTGGGAGGGCAGGCTCAGGAACATTTCCACCAGTACACGGCATCCCGTGCTTCAGCCTTGGCACACAGTGCCAGAGGAACCTGTCCTTGGAACACTTTGAAGCCACAGTGCAACAGGGCATGTACAACATCTCCTGCTCTGCTCTCCAGCCCTTGCCCCTTCCAACCCCCTATGCACTGTCACTACTATCCTCTCCCAAGTCCTGCCTTGAACACCCACTCAGGACAAATCTATGCCTGGAAAAAATAGACCTCTGCCTGAGGATTTGCAGTGGCAAAGCTACAAAGGTTAAAAAAAAAAAAAATCACACAACCCAAATAATTGTTTATCAGCACTGCCATTTTACTGCTGTAATTATGAAAAGGAGGAATTCCTCTGAACTATTAAACATTTGGCTCCAACCACTGAATCAAACTTATTCCAAGGCATTCTTTATTGGATGACTCAGCTTTTCCCGAGTCTTACAAAAACCAGGACTTGAGAGCTTTGCCACCCAGAAACCAAAGGAAGCTTCCATGAAACCAGCAAACACCTCCCATCTTCTCAACATTGTTATTAAAAAAGCAAAACAAACCAGAGAGGTTCTACAAGTCAGCCTATAAACCCAGTCATGAGGAGAGTAGTGTCAGTGGTAATGGGGCAAGAAAGGCAGGGTAATTATACCACACCAAATTTGCAATCGTGCTGCATTCCTTGCTGGTGAAGGCCAGCTAGGAATTAGATACACCTTTTTAAATCATCAAAGGGAGTGGCTGCAAGATACAAGGTGCTGGGATTAAGATGAAGTTCTGGGTTTGCCAGTTCTCAGCAATGGCTTTGGGTGGCTGGGCTGGGCATGTCATTAAATGCTCCCAAACGGTGTTCACACCATGTCACTTCTTTTTAATCTTTATATGGTTCTCTGCATTTCAAGAGTCCCAGGCTCCCACTGGGCAAAAAGCTGTACGAACCAAGAAACTGAAGACAATACCTATCCAAAAGGTTTTTTTTCACTTGGTCAACTGGACAAGTCTGGTAAGTTGTACCTCAGCACTGTTTCAGTGGTGCACAAATATTTATCATGTTGCTCCAGCTACTACAACAAGGTCTGCAAGCTCAGGCCCTCAAGCATGAAAACTCAAGAGCTTCTCTGCCAAGAAGGCTGTTAAAAATACTGAATGGGAAAAATACTATTTTGTGAAGATGATTTATCAAGGACTACATGAATGAGGGAACAGATTTGGCTCAGACCTCTCCTTTCTCAGAAGAACAAGCGCAGGAGTTTAGGTGCAGCACTCACCCTGCAGATCTTTGCAGAGGGGCTGGAAAGCTGGGTCTCAAGGAAGCCCCTCCATGGGTGAGAGGCATGGTGCTGCTGTTCCAGAAATGGAACCCTGCTCCACAGCCTGCTGGGCAATGCAGAGGCGAGTAATCTTCTGCCAGAGAACATCTCTCTCGGAGAAACCACAGGAGTGACCATCACACAGGCAGGACAGCGGCACACAGAGGCAGAGTTCCTGCTCTGGCTGCCTCACCTTATTTGTACTGTACACAGGATTCTCAATATCCTCCTGGGCTGTTACAGGGTAAGAGGAGAACAAGGCACAGAAACAGAAAGGCACAGACCATCAGAGCCTTAAAAACTCATGAATGTCCTCTCCCACCGTAATTTCATAGTGCAGGTTGTTCCAGACAATCCACGGCCAACAAAATAAATGCTGCATTTGTGCTAGTTTTTGGAAAACATGCCAAAAAGACAAACACAAGGCAAAGCAGCCAGCCAAATAGACAAGTCTTGCTATTTAATTATTTTGAAATGAAAAAGTTCAAATTAAAACCAGCTACAAAACAAAGACATAATGATTACCTCTCTCTTCATAAGTTTGTGCTTTGGCACAAATAACTGGCTGGCCTGATTTTATGTCCAATGAATTTAATCTTATCCAACAAAGTGGCTCCCTGTACAGCACAGAAGACAAGGGGTTCTGAAAAGAGCTCTTGGGACAATGTGTAACACCGTACAACTAAATTTAAAAAAAAAAAACCAAACCAAACAAACAATAAAACCAAACAAAAAATCAAACAAACTTAGGGTGATTTCTGTTCCCTCTTAGGCCAGCAGCAAAAAAAAGTGTAATGCAGTTGGCATCAGACTGTGGTGAGGTGAGCAGCACACAGGAGCTGACAAAACCATCAAGCTAACTCCAGTTCCACTTTGCGGTGAACTTGTGAATGCAATCACCTCCCCACTCGAAAGCCAGCTGTTTGTGTTGTGTGATGGGTTCATGTTACTGCACTATTGATGAATTCAGTCTCTTGGCAGTATACGAGCAAGATGCTTTTCCATGTGGTGGCGGCTGACACCCAAGTGATTCGGCATGAAGAAAAGAGCCCGGTGGTTTTTCCCGTGCTGGGGCCTGGGCCACAGGGATGTTCGCTGCCCTCGTGCCCAGCTGTGCTGGTACACCTGAAGAAGCCATGACGTGGCATGAGCTGTATGCTCAAACACAAGCTTCTGTGAGGCATCTCCAGCTGGGCATCCAGAGATGAAAACATCCCCAGATTAGTGGGCACTGCTGAAAAAGTTAGCCAAGTGTTTAGACACTTGCACAATCTGTACTTATGCTCAGTACCTCTTGATTTCTCAAATGGCATCACCCACTGATTGCAAGCATTTCCCAATGGACACAGTCATATTGAAACCCTAAATATTGCAGTGACTTAGCTTCTTCCACTTCACTTTACTCAATGTAATTAATCCCCACAGCGCCTCAGAGGAAGGACAGCAGCATCCACCGACCCAGCCCCAGTGTGCAGGTGGGAGGCACGAAAAGCCAAGGGACCCGTGTGAGATCCTGCAGAGCGCAGGCCAAGTCCATCTGCTGTGTCACGTTTCTAAAGAGATACTCATGCCATCAAACCCCAGCGGTGAGGAAGCGGGAAGAAAGCCTTCCTCAATTTTCCCCCCTCCCCGCCCAGGACCCTGAACTCAACACGATCATTACAGCATGTTTGACGGCACAAGTCACCCCTGCTGTGGTCCAGGCGAGGGATTCCTGGCGTGGCGTGGGGCAGGGCTTGGTGGCCTCGGCCGGTGCTCCCCCGCGGACACCGCCGCGTTGCATAACTACGGACACTGCATGCCAGCGGGAGCTCCCCGGCATCCACCGGCTTATGCAATTAGCGCGCCCCGCCGGGAGGCTGCGGGGACGGCGGCTTTGGGCTCCCCTCGCCCTCCGGCGGGAGCGCTGCCCACCCACCCCGCTCGGGGTATCGACCCTCTGAGGGTCCTCGCCACGGGGCACGGAGGGGAGCGGGGTGGGCGATCATTTCGGAGCGGCCGAGACACCTCCGGAGAAAGGGAGTCACCCAGGACACCTCGCCTCCGCCGAGGTGTCCACGCTCAGACATAAAGGTGGTCCCTGACACGAGGGGCGTGGGGCTCCTGTGGCCGCTCCCCGGGCATCCATCACCTGCAGGTGCCAGGTGAGGGTCCCGGACCCCGCCAGGCCGGGCCCACCGCCGTCCCCGCACCGCCGCAGCGGGCCAGGGTCCCCCCGCTGCCCGAGGGCCGGGCCCCGCCGCGGGGCTGCGGAGCGGAGGAAGCGGCAGCGGCCCCCGCCCCGCCCTGCCCGGCTCCCCCTCGGGCCAAGGGCTGGGCTCCCCGCCGGGCGAGGCAGAGCCAGCCTGCCACCTCCTCCTCCTCCTCCTCTTCTTCCTCCTCCTCCTCCTCGCCTTCGTACTTCTGCACCGGCTCCGCTCGGGCTCCGCCGCTGCCCCTCCGCCGCCGAGGCTGCCACAGAGCCCCCCTCCCTCCTCCATCCCTCCCTCCCTCCCTCTCCCCCGCCCTCCGCCCTGTCCCCAGCGCCGCCGCCGCCGCTTCCACAAGATGGCGGGGACCGTGGCCGAGCGGGACGCGCTGGTGAGTGCGGCTTCACCCCCGCCCGGGCACCGCACTGGCACCGGCACCGGGACGGGGCCGGGGGCCGGGCAGGGCACCTGCGGAGCGGGGCGGGGGCGGGGGGCTGCGCCTGGCCCTGCCTCAGCGCTCTCCTTTCTACCTGCAGAAAATAGAGGACGGGCATTTAAACAACTCCCTGGGATCCCCGGTGCAAGCTGATGTGTACTTCCCTCGCCTGGTAAATCACCTTTATTTGGTTTCTTTCTCCTTTTTTTGGGGGGGGTGGGTGGGCGGTATTTTATTTTTTTAACCCCTTTACTCCCCCCCCCCATCTTCTACACGCCGGCCGCTGCTGATGCCGAGCTGACCCTCGCCACCTTCCCCCTGTCCTTTCCAGATCGTCCCCTTCTGTGGGCACATCAAAGGAGGGATGCGGCCGGGAAAGAAGATCTTAGTTATGGGCATAGTGGACCTCAACCCCGAGAGGTAACACCTGGGCTCGGGCGGGGGGAGATGGGGAAGCGGCCACACGCACGTACACACAGACACATACACACGGATCCCTGCTTTCTGGAAAGGATTATTTTTATCATTTTAAATATAGCATGCTGATTTCTCCTTTGACCCATAGAGGGGGCATTTCTTCAAGGGATCCCGTTTTCACTTGGGAGTAAAGGAGCATATAGAGCTTATGTACATGCATGTATGTACACATATATGCACAACGCCATGTACACACACACACATATATATATACATGCCATAATCATGTTCCTGTGACTGCTGAGCTTTCATGCCGTCATGCTGTCATACCCCCTGTGCTGCTGTACCAATGACTTTAATAAGCTGAGAAATGAGACTGGGCAGCATTTGGGCTTATTTGGGTTTTTTTCTGGCTGAACGAGAGCCATTCTGTTTGTGTTGCAGCTTTGGCATCAGTCTGACTTGCGGGGAGTCGGAAGATCCTCCTGCGGATGTAGCCATAGAACTGAAAGCTGTGTTTACAGACAGACAGTTTGTGAGAAACTCTTGTGTAGCCGGAGAATGGGGGGAAGAGCAGTCATCTATTCCTTACTTTCCATTTATACCGGACCAGCCTTTTAGGGTGAGTACCAGGATGACAGCGGCTTACACCATATCTGATAAAGTGTCATTTGATCTGAGTCGCAGCAGAACCTGACTTGGCTTTCATGAAATCACAGTGTAGCCCACACTGCTCCTGTTGAGACACCAGTTGCTGGTTTGTTTGTATCCATCAAACATTGTGCAGGGATCCTGCTGCTTACGTGCAGCTGCAGGCAGTTCGGATGGGGCTGTGAACACCTCACCTGGCCGCTATGACAAGTCAGAGGTTGTAATACTGTGTGATGAAGTCCAACTTCCTGAGCTTAGTTTTATAGCTATGTATTAAAAAGTACCTCTATGTTATTAGTGCATTACAAGTTATTACTGGAGAATGTAAATACTCTGTGGGACTGCTGTATGTTTTGATGGTTTTTTTAATGGACACAGTGTTTGCAATTTAGTGCGGCTAGTAAGGATCATGTTCATCCTTTGTCTCCAGGGATGTTCCGTAGAGGTTGGCCATAGCTCTCTGTGTTAGCAGATTAAACAGCTAAGCAATAGTGGTATTCTTTCCTGAACCCTGGGATTAAACCTCCCATCAAATTTAAGTCTGTAGTCACTTGAAAATGGTGTTCTGGGAAACGCTGTGGATGGACTGGGTTGACCTAGAAGCAGATTCCCATCTGTAGTGTTTATGGTTATGTGAAGATGTCTTTGCAAATCAGGACTAACAAAGTATGTGGCTGCAGAGGGTTGCTTCACTACATTGAGAGAAAAAGGCTGCATGCCTTTTCCATGCAGCTGACCCAGAAAAACCTTCCTTCTCTTCCCCGCCCCTCTTGCAAAACCTCACTGGCCCCTCTGCTAAATGCCAGTGCTCAGACCAGCTGCCAAACTCTCTTAATCCTTCTTGCCCCCAAGATAATCTCCCCCAGCCCCAAAAGCTCACCATCTCCCCAGATGCTTGGGCTTTAAGAGGGTGTTTGCGACTGGTTTTGCTGCAAATTGGTTGCGCTCTACTTGCTTCTACAAACTCTCCCGTCAGAACTGGCAGCACCCTTTGGCAGTGTGGGAAATGCACTTGAAAAGGCTTGTAGGCTGGGTCCTGCTCCAGCTGAGAGGGTTCCACTGCCTGCTGCACTGGGTGGTGACTTGGGCCCTCAGACAAGCCATACAAATTACACAGAGCATGTTTTGTGGATGTCCCACTGATGGCAGTTGATGCTGGAGGACAGCAGTATCAAACGTTTACTGTGAGATACTGTAGAAAGGGAGTTGTTCTTTCCCCCTCTTTTCTTTTTTTTCTTTTCTCTTTTTCCTAAATGAAATTTAGGCTCCCAATTGACTTTGTACCTTTGATGGTCTCCCTCTCAGTGAATAAATTAGACTATTAAGTGTTCTTGCCAATTACTTGTGGCCCAGTCCAATTATCATTCTGGCGTGGCCCCAGGTGATCTGGAGAAGGTGACTGTGAGCAGGGTTGAGGGTAACCATATCTTTTACATAACAAGGCCTCGGGCTGGCTGCGCCTGCCGCAGTGACACGGGAGCTACGTGGCAGCACAGGCCCTTCCCTGGTGCTTGGTGCACTACCAGGTGTCCAGGAGTTTAAGCTCTCCTGGACTGTCAGCTGCCACTTCTTCCAGTGCGACGTGTTCCACGTCAGTTGGGCTTTGGCTCAGTCAGTTTGTCACCCCCTTAGCATTTTTATATGCTGCAATAGCAGCAGACTCAAGTGCCTGGAAGCAGCACTTCACTCTGGACAACCTCTTGAAATGACCCAGGATTTGCATGTGGCTCCCCTGCAGATTTTCTCCTTAGCCTGTCCAGACCCGGAGTCTCTAAAGGCCCGTACAAGAAGTGCATGTTCTGTGCCCTCATGTCCCTGCTTCCTGCTGGGGCAGCTCTGGCAAAGCTTAGCAACGGGACACCCTCTCAAGCCACCCCTAACGTCAGGAATCTCCCGACCTGTCCAAGCTTGTTCAGCTCCAGGCTTTGTTGCTTTTCCAGAGCATTTCTGCAGGTCTCTCAGGAGGAGGGGTGAGCTGTGTCCCTCCCTGATCCAGTTTGTGCCTCGTGCAAACTGCCCAGCTGAATTCAAGCAATGAATTCAACAGTAGTGTGGAAAGCACTGCAGAGGGAACTGTCACCTTATTCTGCAGAAAAAAGAGAGGGGGAAAAAAAAAAAAAGAAAAAAAACCCTCAAACCAGTAGCAAGGAATGCAAGGTTTGGGTTGGAGATACAATTTCTTCCTCCTGTGATTAGTGGTTTGAGTCTGTTTCTGGCATTATTCCAAGAGGCGAAACCTCCCAGTAGCCAGCGGGACTGGGTTCCAGTGTGCTTACTGCTCCGGCAGTGTGAGATTGGATTAATGTCCCTGTGCAGTAAGAGCAGATCCATCACAGTGTAACTGGTGTCAAGGGGGAAAACTGGTCTCAGGCCTGGCTGTTGCATGCCACATTAGTAGCACAATGTGTAACTGCACTAACACTACTTAAAGTGCTCTTTGTGTGCTGTGAAATAACTTTCCAGTTACACTGTGAACGACACGCTTTAACATTTTATCTTTTACAGGTTGAGATACTTTGCGAGCATCCCCGTTTTAGAATATTTGTGGATGGACATCAGCTCTTTGATTTTTACCACCGTATTGAAACACTGTCAGCAATTGACACAATAAAGATAAATGGAGATCTTCAGCTTACAAAACTGGGCTGAGCTTGTTAGGACTGCAGATTCCAAACCAGCTCAGGTGCCATCGTCCGTTTGGAGCAGTGACAGCCAGCTCTGGACACAGCTATGGTAGGAAGGCTGCCCTGTTCCTTTTCCGCATGCAGTTCTTCACTCCTGTGCCGATGAATTGGGCTGCTTTTTATCCTAATGAAGAGCACTGTTGGTTAATAGACATTGAGCCGTTTTTCTTGGATCAAAATAGCCCACCTGTGCTGGATAATCAAATTGGAATGGATTCAGAAAGACTTGCAGTCTTTGTTTCAAATCTCACAGAAATGCAGTTTCTGAAATGCAGCGCTAAAACCGGTTACTGAACAGTAGTGACAACAAAAACCAAGTTTTTCTTTTGCAAATATTGTTTCTGCACTGAAGTGGAGTAGTGTAGCACAACATAGGGCCATGTGCTGACGTCCTTACCTGGGGCCTGAGCCTGGTTCCATGGAAATCAATGGCAAAACTCCCACTCACTTTAACGGGGTACAATCAAACTGTCTAGTCCTTAGTCAAGCACAATTCCCACTGATTTCTATGGCATTTTTGCACACACCTTGGGGCCTGCTGTTCTGCTGGTGTAAATCAGCACTACCCAAACAGCTTGCAGTGGAATTCTGCTGATTGCTCCCAGCTGCTGGTTTGGCCCAAGGGCTGTGCAAAAACTGACTGAGGGTGTGTGGACACAGCCTGTGTATTTTAGTCAGGGTATTTGCATAGAATGTAGGTCGTTATGAGTTTTTGCACAACGTATTGTTAATACAATTTTTAAAGCTTCTCTGTAGTTTATTTATTTATACTCATTGTATGTATTATTAGTAAAAAAATGAACAATCTTACTGGCGGTTAAGATCGGCAAAGTGTAAACATTCTGAATGTACAAAATGTCTGAGGTTCTTTGGGTAAACTTTACATATCGTTCTTGAAAAAAAACATGTTTCCTATCGAACATTTAGTTATGTTTTAGTGGAGCCCTCTAGGCCCTGGGAAAATGTGGGCATGGTAGCTGGTGGGGGGGGAACTCTGCATATTCACTAGGATCTGTTTTTCAGGGCTTACTAACTTTGCTGCACAGGATAGGTTTGAGTTGAAGTTGATCCATTTTAAAAACTTAAAAGCCAAATTTGTAGGTTTAACTGTGCTTTTATAACCCGAGAAGAAGTTAAATTTGGCAATCTCTTAGTTCAGAAAGAGAACCAGGCTCTTTCCAAGGGAGATGGGAGATTCTTTACACTTATTTGAGAACATATTCGGCCTTTGATATGACAATTAAAACTTGTCTAGACAGCCAAGTTATTAATGCTTGAAAATCAGCTACTGCACATGAATAATAACTTTTCAAGTAGCTTTTGAAATAGTAGGTATAGCTGTATAAACACAGTCATTGCACTACACTATAAATGAACACAGCCACTTTCTTGACTTCTTTAGGACTAAATACACATTTTCCTTGGCTGCTCACAATGGACTGTAGTTGGTCTTTCTGAGTAGTTATAATCATGATATAAACATACTTTTAGGCAATTTTGAAAACACATAATATAGGGACTGAAACACAGACTATAAAAAACATCCTTTGTAGCACAGTATTAAGAAAAAAAAAAAAGAGAAGAATCTCACAAACAGAACTGTGTTAAACCTGCAATAAAACTGTGGTTTAAAGCCACCAGAACTGGAATATCCAAAGTTAAGGGTAGAATGCCAATGCAAAGCCTCATTTTGTGCTAATTTGGCCTGCAGTTAAGAAGCCTTAGACTGCAAGCTGAAATTCCAACTGTGGCTCTAGTCCAAAGCCTGTTGAGGTCAATCAGAGTCCTCTGAGCATAGAAGCCTGATTCTTATTTCATGCAAGCAAGTGCAAATCTCTTTGTAAAGCTGGGGGGTTGTTGCTGCTGCAACAGGTGAATTAAGAATCAGGCTGCCACCTATAAAATACAAGTTAAAAATTCAATTTTTAGCCTTAACATTTTACACTCCCTGACTTTTCTTCCTACTTCCAAATTAAGAGAGAACTCGTTTTCCAGGTGACTTTTTAATCTGGTGTGTGGCTTTTAAGCTTTGCATCAGATTCTATTTGTACTCCAGATTGAATTGAAATGTTCCTGTCTTGCTCTGTTTTTACTCTTTTACATGATACATGATGACTGTGTCATTTTCCATTGTATAAAGAACGCTGACAGTGTTTCGGTACAAAAATATATTCTTAAAAATTATGATAATAAAAATCCGAGGGAAAGGTGCTTCTACATGAGGTGTTTTGGATTTTTCTCCAGCTTGGAAATGATCTGTGGTTCCAAAGCTGATGCAGGCAGAAGATATTTGGAGAGAAATTTAGCACCCTCTGTGCCCAGTGCTTTCTCCCAGCTGGATATTTAAAGCCAGGTTTGCTGATGCAGGGCCGGTGCCTGAGGCCAGAAGTAGGAGGCAGGAGAGAGTAAGTAGCACCTCGACCCTACAGTAGCTCAAACCCAAAGGGAATCTCCCTGACAGCACACCAGTAGAGGTTTCCCCTTCCATGCCTTTTCTGTATCCCAGGAAAAGCAATTTGGCTGCCTTGAATTTTCACAACCCTCACACTTCTGCTCTCCTGAGCAGTCTCGGCGCAGCACAGTGCCTACACCAGGGATGCTGAGGTGAACTCAGTGCACCACCTGTCAGTGGCATCTCTGGTGGGAGCAAGGGTCTGCTGATCCTGCCCTGCTCTTCTTCCCACCTGCTGTGCTGGGCACTCCCATTTGTTCTCGCTCCAGAAATTTTCTGTCTGGGGAAAATGCACTTTATTTTACCCTGTTTCTGGTTTTGCCTTTGCATAACTTCGCCAACCACGGCGCCCACCACCTGATCCTGCCCCGCTGTGGTTTCTGAGCCAGGCTTCAAGGCAAGAAGGGCTGTGAACCCTCTACTGACGGGTTGTGGTTTGCCTGAGAGCTCAGGAAAGGGCAAAAAGTCACAGTTAAGGCTTTTGCATCCATCTATCTATCTATCTATCTATCTATCTATCTATCTATCTATCTATCTATCTATCTATCTATCTATCTATCTATCTGTCACCTGCTTGGAAGCCTTTTAATTTTTCTTTTGCTCTTGGGCACTACCAGGCCATGGCAGGTGAAAGAAGGATGATGTCTATGTCACCAAGGGCTGTTTCCACAGGTGCTTGGCTTACCCTGCCTAATCATGTTTGTTAAGAAGCAACTGCAGAACACTTGCATGTGCAGTGTAAGTCAGAGAAAACTGAGGCCTTAACTGTTTCTGCTCAGCTGAACCTCAAGCCAGTTTCAAATATTTAAGGTGGCAGGCTGTGCTGCAAAATTTGTATCTGAATTTTTAGGTCTCCATAGCTTAGGGATTATTCAGATCTTCATTTTGAATATAAGCTCTAATAGACCGTTTCCGAATTGGGCCAGGTATTTCAGTAGAGACAAGTAGTCTGTGAGCTTCTTGGAAGCTGCAAATCTTCAGGACTTAAGGAGTGTGTAAAGCAACTTTTGAAACCTTATGCTAAAATTTATTAGCTGAATATTTCTGCGATTTCCTCTGAGTGAGGAAGTTGATTCTGAAATTAAAAAAGTCTTGAATGGGTAAAATCCATGTGCAGTGGAATCACTAAACTTAGCATAGCTTTATTTTTTTCCAAAGAGGAAAAACTAAAAACTTTAAAAAAAAAAAAAAAATCAAAACAACCAAACCAAAAAAACCACAACCAAATTATTTAATTTTGTTTGGGATTGGCTGTGATAAAGCTGATTTGATATTAAAAAAAAACCCCAAAACTAGGTTATTGCCTACTCAGAGCCTTGAAATATTTCAGTGTCATGTGAGGTAGTCTTGTGTCTAAACACATTTCACATAAACGCTTTTTCACAGGCGAGTTGTTAAAAATGTTACAAAATACCTTCTTTTTGTGTCACAATTAGAAATGTTTGCCCCACCTTGAAAGAACGTTTTGTACTAAATATTCATATGTTGTCTATGAGAACTTGCACTAACATATTACATTCTCCCTCCCCTCCTTGACTAGTTTGAGCAGAAATAGGCGTAAATATTGCTAAACCGGTTGAATGTGACATCTGCTTGAGGCCTCGCACCTTTCTCAAGGGCTGCTTTGAGTAAACAGCCTGGAAACCAAAGGGAGAGCCTGATTCACCATTCTGCTGTGCCAGCTTTCCACCCTTGTCACTCTCCTGCTGCGAGGCTGAGCCTGAAGCCCGGAGATTTTCATGTAGGGAGCAGCAGTGAGATTTTTATCTTTGGATATCAAACTATTCACTGTGGAGGAAACAAGACCAGAGTAGCCACAGCGCTCTTCAGCTTGGTGGTGAGGTTGGGGTAGCATGACATGCTTAAGCCCTAACAGAGCAGGAGTTCAGAGGGCATTGGTGGGCATTTCAGAGCCAGGTAAGAGCACAGGCTGTGGAGATGCAGGACAGCTTCCCAGGGATGGGCTTTTGCCACATTTTTATTTGCCACCTTCTGCAACCCCCTGCCAGGACACATGGCAAAAACCCAGCATTGCTTACGAGCTTGGAAGGCATGAATGGGTTCATGTTCCTACTCGTCTGATGTAAGAGAGGCTCCCAAATAAATAATAGGAAAATTAAGGAGTAGCCATGCCGCTAGGTATTTTTTCCCCCACAGACATTCAAGCAGCATTTATGTGATGTGGGGCTCATTTTGCCTGCTGTCCACAAGAAGTACTCCCTGCAGAAAACTCCAGCACTGTTTTCTGCACTGAGGCTGGTTATAGAGACCTTTCCAGGCAGAAAACTGCAGAACCACAACTCTGCTGAGCCAGTTAACAACCTTCCAGCACCCCTGGAATTAATATGACAGTATAAGGCACAAGAGTCAGGCTGAAGGCAGCCCCAAATACTCCGTGTGATAAGCACAGAAGTTCAGAAGAAAAGCTTACACCAGTCTAGGAACAGTAAGTGACCTGGTGAGGGTTTTTTCTAATCATGGGTATTGTTCTGCTTTTATCACATGGATCAGAAAGTGTACAGGTGAAAGTCACTTTGCAATGAATCGTGTGCGGGGTTAGAACCAAGGCCAACCCAAACAGGGAGAAAAAATGAGCTGCAGACGCCCTATCTGGCTTTGATACACCCTCCCAGCTCCTCCCAGCAATCACTGCTGTTATGAACACAGACAATTACTAGAACAGGGAGATTCAGCAGCATGTGCAAGATCTAAATAATAAACTCCTACTCTGCCACAGGTCCTCCCTAGCTCCTGTTGCTAGGCCTCTCCATCTGTCTGTCAACAAATAACCATGTCCTGCTGCTTTTAAAATCCATGTCAAAAATCCCTTTGACTTTCATGGAAATAGGTCCCTAAGAAAAGGGTTATTTCCAGCTCTCACTCTCCAGTTATTTTCAGCTGGGGCATACTCTAAAACTGAGTTTATTTTTAAGTGTGAATAGAGGACTATTTCTGACTGCATTATACATTGGGTAGAGTAAACAGGAAGCACAGCCTCTCTCTGCTGCAGAAACACTGGTTTCACAGTTCCCCGATGAAATGTCTTGTTTTCATTACCTTCTGATTTTACAAAGTGAGATTGTGCACGAAATGACGGGGCAATAACAGTAATATGTACCATTCACCACAGATCTATTTTTATGTGTTGTGCTGATTTCATAATGAACTTTTAATAACAATAAAACATGCAATCTTCACTAGGTTGTTCTGTCTTCTGTCTGAACTATTAATGCTCATTGCATACCCTCTTGACTTCTCTAACTTCTGGCTTTTTTTAATCTTCTGACTGTTATCCAGATGTGGCTAACTCTTTCCCTCATAAAACTGTAGTGTGAAACTTCAGAGTGGGATGTGCAGCTCTGGCAGCAGCTTGTGTAAAACTGCTTTACAGCTTAAATGCACTATACAGAATAATCAAATAACTTCATTAGAGGAAAGAACATCTTGCTGACTCTTACAACACTCCTGCTGACATCACTGGGCAGTGTAAGCCTCAGGAATTAACAGGCACGACTCAGACCTCACAGCCAGGCCGTGAGAACAGGTCACTGATCACTTTTGCACGGGATAAAACAGCAGTTTAACTCACACGTGTTCCAGCTCACTCTGGTGGGACTGGATTCATAGGCGAGTGTTACGTGGTGAGTAAAACCACCAAATCAGCTCCAGACACGTTATTATGTGATCCAGTGTTTCATCTTAAGTGAAGTTCACATTAGCCTGATTAAATGCAAGAGGAAACCATAAGGTGTCAGCTTCTTTCAGTTAAAGTTACTGGAAAAATTCTGTATGACCCAAGTGGGAAAGGATTATTCCCTCCATCCAGTCGTGGCTGTAGAAAACAAGTGAGGTTTCTGAGGGAAACCTCAAAATTCAAACAGCACTAAAGCAGCAGATGAACAGGATTTGAATACAGCTAGTTCTGTGGTTTTTTCTCCCAATAAAATGACTGTGATTCAGATGCTCCACATGAAGTTCATCTTACCTCTAACCCATGAGCATCAATCTGTGACCATCCCTGCTCAAAGCAGCCCGAGATTGGCCCTTTGTTTACTACACAAGACTCTAAGAGGGGATATGTTGACATCTGAAGATTCTGAGATAAAACACAGCATTTGGTAACCTCGATGCAGAACAGATATGGCTGTGAATGGTGTAAAAGCAGCATCTATTCTCCATCAGGCAGCAGAGCCACAGCAGCTGAAGTACCTGGGAGTGATTTTCAGAAGACAGAATAGATACATCAAATTTTACCTCTTGAGTGGGCTAACTCCTACAGAGTCCCTTGGAAAGCTCTCATTTGACCTGTAATACTGAGTAAACTACAGGTATGAGTCTTGGGGAAAGGCAAAGCACCTGGTGTGGCAAGTGCCGTGTGTACTTCTCTCCTGTTGCGATCAGTACTGCGGACACCTCACAGCTGAGCCTTATTTTGCTGGAGTGTTTCTGAGCTTCAAGCCAAGCCAATTCATGTTGAGTGATTTACTCACAGGAATACCACGAATATGACTCTTTGCTAGCGCTGCACTGGATTTTATTTTTAAATTATGACTTTCACCACTCTTCTAAGAATAGAGGCTGGCTCTGAAACATCGTGTCGGCTCCAGCATTCTCTGAAAGCTACACATTTCTCATCCTGTTCTGGTTTTGAGGCTTCAGTTTCCTCACTGGTGCCTTGCTAGACCGGGGCTGTGATGCCAGGAGGGGTTATTCTGTGGAAGACCCTGACAAAGAGGTGTCTTTCAGCAGCACTCTTTGGCAGAAGGAGACCTGCTAGTCTCCCCCAGCAGTCAGGAGCAACAGCAAACCAGAGCTGTGCTGACTCCTGGTTGGCAGGACAGGGCTTCCTTGTGACTCTGAGAGGCTGGAACAAAAGCCTGGTTAATTAGAAAAACTTCACTGAAGCTGAACAGTAAATCTCAGCAGCAAAGAGGAGGGTTTCAGAGCTAAGCAATCTGATACTAACAGCAGAGCCACGCTCCCTTGGTGCCCAGAGGCCACGGGCAGGTGTTGCTTCTAATGAGCAGAGAAGCAAAGCTCCATTCTGTGGCCAAGCATGGATGAAGATGCTGGAGGTTTCTGACACTGTTCAGTGGCTCTGCCTTTGCCTGGCTTCAAAAACCCCTTTGATGGGCAAAAAGCCAGTGCTGACAGTATTGTAATGTATGACAAGCTCCAGTAGCAGCTCCAGCACCGCGTGCTCCAAGAGGCAAAGAGGATTCTTTCCCTGCTGCTCTCTAAGAAATCTTCTGTTCAGTGGGAAAGATAATGGCTGTCTAGAATAGATACAATTCAGTAATAAGAACAAAATGTGACTCCAGGTGGAAGAAACATTCTTAGGAAAGCAACAGATTCACTACAATCTCAGGGGAAAACAAAATATTTTAATTTAAAAGTACCAAGGCTTCAGCAAGGATAGGGAAGTTTCTTTTACATCCTATTTTTGGAAGAAAGATATAATGAGCTACAGTGGGTATTAAAGAGACTCAGAGGGGCAAAGGTGGGAGCAGATCTGGATTATTACATGGAGGCAGAACACAGCTTCCACATCTATTCCCCTCTGTTTCCACTTCCTTTTCTCAGGGATAGCCAGTCCTTTCCCTGAGAGAGAACCATTGATGGAGGAACATCAGAGGAACTTCTTCTGTGGCTTCAGATCTTTATGTGTCTTCTTCAGACACTGACCAAGGTATACCTTATTTAGTGCTGCTCATTGAAGAACTTCAAAGCATTGACATAATATAAAATTCATGTTAATTCATGAATTCATTTCTAGTATTACTGCTGTTATCCTCCAGGCAGGGAGAGGGAAGAACAGAGATGCACCAACTGTTTCTCAGCAATCAGTGCTGTAATTTGGAAGACACTGATTGGCACACAATGTCTCATCACTGTGACTTTTGGCTACAACACTGAAGTTCAGGCTCCCAAGCCCCCTCCTTTGCTCACCAGGCAGACACGTTATTTTGGGACAGAATATACAATGGTAAGGCTGAGTAATGCTATACACTGAGTAGCTCCTCTGGGATCAGAGGTACTCTTTGTAATGCAAAATCCTTCCAAAATATGATTATTTTTTTTTTACAATAGTAAAAATGAATGGCATTCAGTCAATTTTTTTTTCTGCAGCCTCCACTGACGAACATTCAATTGCCATTTAAATAATGCAGAAGAGAAGCTGGAACAAGACCAGGTTTCTTGGCGGGGAGTTTGCTGCACCTTAAATTCAAAAGGTGATGTGAACATGTTTCCCTAGACAAAATACAGCAATAACAACCTGAGTGATGAAAACAGGCTGATCTCTCTCAATTTTGGTGGAAGTACACCAGTTGATACCAACCGAGCCCCTGTTAGAGTAGGAACTGGTTAAAGGTTCCCATAATAAACCTTACATTTTTGAGCTATTCAGAAGATGCTCTCAGGCAAAATAACAGGATTCTATTTAGCTAAAGAAAGCACATGATTGTCTTAATGCATTGTACAGCTGAAGCTGTGATAATGCAGGCTAGAAGATGATGTTTTAAAGTGAAAGGAAATTAGTTGTAATTATAATTGTTGCTATCTTTATGTATTGCCAGCTGTATTGATTACCTTTTTTCTGTGTGTCACTGGCAACTAGGGAACATGATACATTATCTCATGCTAGTGTTGGAGGGCAGAAGAGATTGGTGTATTTTTAGAAACAAGATTCCCACAGTGTAACTGTAGCGATTGGATGATCATACACATGCATATTAAAATGCCAACAGATGAATTCCTGGACAGTGCCAGCAAACATTCCACTGTTTGGGGTAGGAGGAAAGGGCAGGGATGCAGAGCTCAGAAATTGAACAACTGCAAGCACAGCAGTTTTACCTCAAAGAGTGTCCTCTGAGGGATTTGCAGCTCACATTGGTCAGTCTGAAAGGGAAGCTGTGAAAAACCGGAATCTTTTCCTTTCCTGGATGAAAAGATGATAAGTTTGCAGGTCAGATCTGGTCCCATTACACATGAAATCAGATCTCTGTACCAGTGCAGAGAATTGATGGCCACCTCTAGGCATCCTTTAAGGGCTCAGTCCTGGGCCTCAGCCACCAGCAGACTGTGTTTGAGGTGCCTCTGTTGCACAACAAAACATAGTGCAGAGGTCCTTGGCTCACTAAATCTCACCAAGACTGCAGATGTGCGAGGCTTATTACTGGGCATAGACCTGCACAGAGAGATGGTAGGGCCAAGTTGCCTGTAAGCAAAGCTGGTGGTGAGGCAATCAGGTGCTGCCTGTGCAGAGCCCATGTGTGGCAGCATTTGCTGGGAACTTATATGTTTCATAAAGCATTTATATGTCTCATGTCAGAGAATCTGTTTCAGACTCTCTGGGAGTAGTATCAGCCAGGTTATCAGTCTTGTAGTTGTGCTGGCTTAGACAGGACTCCTCCAGGACCAGTGGAGGTCTGAACCTTTCCACTAAGAGCCAACCCAAGTGTCTCTAAGTAGAGCACAATGTGAGTTCAATTGTAGAAGAAGTAACTAAAGTACACTTGGAGCACTCATCAGTCATTCAAGTAGTGTCAGATAGATATCTTCCTGTGTAGTGTACACTGTTAGTGTATTCAGTATAAACAAACTGATAGTCACAGGCCATCACAGGAGCATTGCACTTGATAAATCTGGCAGTCCAAATAGCTCACAGACTTTGGTTGTGTTAACTGGAATGTGTTTTGGAGGACAGCACAGGGGATGCTGTGACAGACAGCTATAGCACAGCTGGCCACAGACAGATTTTTCTTTCAGTTCTCTTTAAGTAGAATTAGTACGAAGCCTATTCAATAATCTTGAATTTTATGTATTTATCACTGATATTGCAATGATTTAAATTGGTGTTGGAGGAAATTTAATGCCTGATCTTTTTCAGGATCCTGTTATATTTATGCATATGGATATTGTTCATGAACAGCAATATACTACTTGCAAAGAGAATTCCTGTCTGTCTTTGATGTACCTCTCTTCTGTCTCATTATATGCCCTTTTATCATTTAATAGGTGGATGAATTAAGAGAAGACCATAAGCTAACTTCTCAGTGTCATTTAGCTGTCTCTACACTTTCATCATCACCTCTTTCAAGGTACCCAGACCTTTTCAACCTAATGACCAAATAACAAACTGGAATCTTTTCTAAAACATGTCTTCAATCCACGCTGTAAGAATTAACAGTCACCA